CAGAGCGGGTGCGGGGCCCCCGGAGGCGCCGGCGGAGCCCGACCGCGACGGCCCCAGGGAAGAGGACGAGCCCAAGCTGATGCCCGGCCCGCAGGTAGGAGCGAGCGAAGCGAGTCCGGTTGCTCGGGCGCTTTCACCTCCCCAGAGCGGGGTCGGGACGGGCTTGGGGATGGACCATTTCCCCCTTCAGGGCCGGGGCAGGAGTGGAGGCTGGAACCCTCTCTCCGAAGCCGAGATTCGGGCGGTTCTGGTCTCCTGAGACCAGACTGCCTGACCCCTCCTGCCGCCTCCGGGCTGGAACATAGGCTGCACCCACACTGGGACTGGACAGTGATCCCGAGACCACAGCTCAGACCTCTGTCCTTCAGCTTCCCCGTGCCCACCTGCTCCCCCACCCACTCACCCAGGGGCCGTCTCGGGGCGCTGGGGCCTGGAAGGCTGCAGCCTCTTCTCTCTCTCCCCCGGGAGCGGCTCCACCCCTTTCCCCTCACTGCCTGCAGCCACTGCCCCCTCAGCAGCTGTGTCCCCAGCACATGTCTGGTGGGGCCTCCCTCCCTTCCCTGTCCAGCGCAGCACTTGAAGCAGACAGCCAGGTTGCTATCTAATGGGGCTCCTGCACGGAGGTGGAAACCCAGCAAAGCCTGCCCTTTCTCTCTGCTGTACCCCTGATCCACGAGGCTCCCGCCTCTTCCCTTACATCCCTGGGTTTGGCGAATCCCGGTAAGAGTGAGCAGTAGGAGGATTCACCAAAGCTTCCAGCTTGCCTCCTGGAAGAAGGTCACTTTCTTTTGAGCAAAGGAGAAAACGGGAGAGGCCCGGGTGGCATGAGCCACAGTTGCTCTGGGAGGGTTTTGGCACCTGGGGCTGGGTGGCTCGCCCTAAGCTTGCTCTGACAAAAGAGTTTTGAGTTGGTCTTTTGGCTGAGCCTGCCAAGGAAGGCAGGCTCCTGCAGGAGTCTTGGAGGGTCGGATGCGGCGCCGGATGAGACTGAGGCGTGGCGGAAGATGCGTTTGGCTCTGCAGACACTGCATCGGGCAGCAGGGGACTCTGGGAGGCTGGTGCAGCCAAGAAGGCATGGCTCTTGACAGCCTTCTAGTAGAATCTCTGGAATTGTGCATGTGAGTGGGGATGCCGTTTGGGGTACCATTCCCAGAAAGCCTTCCCTCACCTCCCCAGTTGCGTGAGGTGCCCCCTCTGTGCCCACAGCCCCCTGTGCTCCCCTCTGGTTTCATTCCCCATTCTGTGATGAAACATTCTGTTGCTGTGTCTGTTCCCACACTGGACTGTGAACACAGGGGCACAGTCTTATGTCATCTCTCTCTGGTCCTCCACGCCTAGCCCTGAGCCTTGCTCACATCAAGTAGAAATAACTAGGTGAATGAGAGAGAGATGAATCTGTTGAGAACCTGTGCTTATTGTAACCCAGTTTATACTGGTCTCCTTTGTGTCTCATCACAGTAAGTTTTTAATTAATGAAAATGACACTACTTGTTCTCCACTTTCACCCCCACCCCCTATCCTGGGCTGAGACTGGTTCCAAAGGATTTGTTTCCACAGATTGGACCCCACTCTCACCTAGTCTGACTTCTGACCCTGAAGCTACTTCCCCTTCTAGCTTTTTTTTTTCCCTTCTCTGGGATCCCTTGGGAGTGTTGTTATCCAAAAGGGGAGAATGGGGGAGGAGAGAGCCAGGGAACTGTTGTTTTCTCCCCTTCTCATTTATAGCATACAGTACTTTAGGGTCCCCTGCCACTTAGGTAGCCTGAAATATTCATGGCCAGAAAGTTTGGATTGGTGGCTCAATCATTTAGTTTTTACTTAGGATGCATCTTTCCTAAGAGCTATAAGCCTCATTAACACAGTGCGTTCCTACCATGTTCTTACCTACTCCACGGCTTGATCTGCCATTTCATTCATTTATTCATGCCAGGCACTTTCCATAACTTACTTCTAATCTTTCCCGCCACCCCTGTATTTTCAGCATTTAGCACAAATGTGATGAGTTAACTATTGGTGTCATTGTTGGTCTGCTTTGCCACATAAACTCTGAGTGTGCAGGAACCACGTCAGTCAACGTTATACCCCACACCTGGTGATTAACGTGTTTACGAATGAAGGATGTAAATACCATTACCCCATTTTTCAGATGAAGAAACAAACTCAGAACAACTAAACGTTTACCCAGTAACTCCCACTGTAGGTCTCAGTGTGCCCCCCAAGACACTTTGTGGGGGATTTAACAGCATTTTTTTTACTGTAGCCACAAAGAGGGGAAACAGATGACAAACTCTTTTGTGATTGTGCCCCAAATTTTGCTGGGGAGGGGGGTCATGGATACCAGAACTAGGCTTCTGTGCCCTGGTGAAAAGCACCCACTGAAAGGGTCAGTCATTGCTCTGCCCACAGGGGTGCCTTTGGTGAGGCTCTCTGGCTCCCACCACCACTTACAACCCTGTTTTATGTATACAGAGTGGATAAGTAAGGTGAAACAGTGTCCCATGCTGAGCTGAAACCAGAGACAGCAAATCAGACCATTTCCCGTCCACAGACAGGTCCTAATGTCCCAATTACATATTGTTTTGTTTCTGTTTTAGTTTTGATTTGAACCAATATTTTAAATTCAAAAGGCTGCCCACAAAACTGGATTTGTGCCATCTCTTAAAACTCTAAAAGTCTGGTGCTGCTGGGCCCACATCTGTGAGGCGGTAATCTGCACTCTGAGTGGTGTCTGTTCCTTTTGCATATGAAGGAACCCTGATCTGTGCCAGGCCCTGGGCTAGCTGGGGATACAGAAGTGAATCATGAATCAGATATGGTCCCTGCCTACAAGGGGCCTATGGTCTAGAGAACACATGTATAGCAGTGGCAGTGAGGCTAGAAGACCTTGCTTCCTCTGAGTTAAGGTTCACAGGCCACTCAGTTTGGTTCCATCAATTCCCTTTTGCTCATTTGCATAACCTGTACACGGTTAAACATAGGACTTTGAGCTTAATTGGGATCCCAAAAGGCGTTACTTTGGATTGTTTCAGGCCCTGAAACTACATTGATCTATTCACTTAAGAACCCAAATCCTCATCTACTTTACAAGAAGACAGTTACTGCCTTATTAGCAAAGGAGAAAAAAACTTACAAAGCAGTTGAAGGAGGCAGTTGGAAATAGCGTTCAGTATTACAGACTTGGGGTGAACTCCAAGCTGAGGCTCCTCCTAGCTTTGTGACTCTGGGCATGCTCCTCCCCTCTCTAAGCCTCTTTGGCAACTTCACAAGAGAATGTGGAGCAACCCACATAGCACATAGTACCTTGATGCTCCTCACACAAGAATAGGAGTCAGAGGTTGTGTGTGGTAAGAGGTGTGCCAGATGGACATCCAAACCCTGAGTGTTCTCACCTACCAGCTCTGCTGGCTGTCTTTAGATCTCCCTTGGACCGCTCAGCTTGTAATCCAGGTGCATGCCCAGTAAGCCCCCAGGAGACTTGCTAGAATGTAAACCAGCAGTTGGTGGGGGTTGAGCTGCCCTTCCCATCTCTGATCTCCCTACAGCATCCCCAGGGACTATGCCCAGCCTAGTTTAAAGGGACTCTAGAGACGTGGTTCCCCCATTGCTCAGAGTTAAACCTGCTCCCTCAAGGGACTGGAGTAGATGATCAGTCAATATCTTTGTTAAAACCATCTCATGTTTGACCCACTCAGCAAGCATTACAACCTCTGTTCCAGAGCCTTTATTCGGGGCACACAGATAAGTGAGATAGTCCCTATACCCAGAGATCTCTCTCTTTAAATCACAATCCAGCCCATCTGGGTGCTTTCCATGAAAGTAGGAAGAAATGATACTGAGGGGGATCCTTCTGGATCTTCTTTGTAAGCCAGTAGAGATTCACTATGTAGAAATGCCAAAAGGCCTTTGAAGAGGAGGACTTACCTGCCAAGATTTTAAACTTTTAATTTTAAAACATGCCAGATCTCTAAACTCAATACCTGATGTCAGATGGACTATTAAAGATCCCAACACCTTTACTTACTGAATCTAGAATTTGTGAGAATGGGATTATGTTTTAATTCATTTCTGGGGTATTTATTGTGCATGGTCTTAAGTGCTCGAAAAATGACTGTTAAATTAAATGATAAAAGAAATAAGTTAGGTTTGTACCACTTTATTCTTACCTGCCCTTTTTGCTGGGCCAGGCTGATAGTCTTTCATTCATTTAGGCCCATTGCACACACCATGCCTAGTCTTCCTCTTATCTGACCTGGGTGTTCCTTTCTTCTGCAGGCACTAATGGACACCTGATCTGTGCCAGGCCCTGGGCTAGCTGGGGATGTAGAAATAAATCAGACATGGTCCTTGCCCAGAAGGGCTCATGGTCTAGAGAACGCATATATAGTAATGGCAGTGAGGCTAGAAGAGCATCACTTCCTCTGAGTTAAGGTTCACATCCAGATCCTAGTACCGGTCTTTGGAAGTGTTTCAGCCCCTTGGTTTGTTTTCTCACGTATAAAATGATAGTGACGCCAGGCTCACATTAGGGTTTGGCCAGTATTGCATGTCAAGCTCTGAACACAAGTGGTAGCTATGATTATAGATGCTTGGTGCTGAGGGTGCACGGATGTGATAGTCTAGAGAAAGCTTTTCAGGGTGGCTTCAAGGGTGAATTGAAGTTCCTCCAGATGACAAGGTAGGAGAAAGTGTCTAAACAAAGGAAACAGTATAGACAGAGACCCAGAGGCAAGAAGTGCCCAACTCATAGGAGAGTGGTAAGAGGTCAGGCTGGAGAGGTTAGCAGAGTTCTTGAAAACTACAGCAAGAAGTCTGGGCTTTATCCTGTAGGCAGTGAGGAACCAACGAAAGGTTTCAAGTGGATGTGATATGCTTTGATAAATTCTCTGATCCATGGAAGGAAGTAACTCTCAGTGGGAGAGCTGCTGTGATTGCTTGATTCCACTCTTCCCTCACCTCAGCCTAGCCAATCATAAGCTCCCCTGTGCTTTGCTGGACCCTGTCCCAGACCTACAGAATTGGAGCCTATTGTTGTTCAATTGCCCCAGGTGATTCTGAGGGACTGTAGGGAACTGCCAAATTGAGGGTGCCACGAGAATGTTTGCTGAGGCCTAGGATATTCTTCAAAGAATGGAGCTTCCCAGGGGGAGGCTTTTCTATAAGCAGGAATAGAAACAGCCTTAGTTTTAAAAAA